AGTTTAACAGTATTTTGTCTCTATCTGCGATTCTGCAATTAATCTCATGTAAACAATAACTTGGCGCACAGGGTGACGTGAAAAAAGGCACATACCTGCATGAGGAACTCTGTATTCCTTGTCTACAGAGAAAAGCAAAAAAGGAGTTTTAAAAAATTATCCGTTTTCGGTGATTCGAAACGCCGTTTCAAAAATACCCGTGTAGGTGTGGACATAGCTAAAAGAGTTGGTAGTTTATTTTCTTACTACCTGTAATTTATTGCAGATTACTTGTATTTGCTTAATTGTTTACTAAATGTTTGAGGTGTGAAATAAACGCAATGGAGCAAAATATGGGTAAGTGTGGTTGGAGGATGTGTGCGTGCACGCGCGGGGGGGGGCGCGAACATTTTTCTTGTAAAACAAAGGGGGGCCCAGCAAAAAAAGTTTGGGAACCACTGGGCTAACCGAAGGTCGGACCACAAGAAGGGACGGTCCCATCCAACTACCGACCAATAACCTGCCTCAGTACTACATGGAAGCTCCTGTCAGGCATCATATCGACTAAGATGAACAGGCACATGGGTCAATACATGAGCGGGGATTGGCAAGAATACCAGAGGCGCAAAACACCAACTACTGGTAGACAGAACAGTCAGCTGAGACTGCAAGAAAAAGAAGCTTTTATACGTTACGTGAAGTTGAGAAAGATTATACTTACGGGCTTTCCCATTGAAACATAAACAAAAAACTGAACCTTGTGATGAGGATACAATTTCCAGTTGCCGAATAATATACCCAACAAACACTACTTGTAGTCATATACAAGTGTACTGATTATATTTCTCCACCAGAGGGCAGTCTACAGCCATCTGTACTGCCCATGTTTTCCTGCAGTCCAGTGCTGGGTGCATTCTTAATCAAAAAGAGCTGCTTTTGCCTACATCTGACTGGTATACCTGGCATCCCAGCAGAAGCCAAATGCCAGATTGTGGAGGAGATTAGATCAGAGAACGCCTGCAGACAGTCTGCCTATTTGCAAGCTTTTGCCCATTCCTCTATAGTGGACACGGTGTACGTCTGTCACCTGCAGAGATGCTGGGCGATGGAGGTATTAAACAGGGAGCTTCTACCATGATATTTGATGGAGACTGTAAAGATGACAGTGACTGTGAGCACATGGTTGGATAAAATTATGATTTTATGATTAGAATTTGGTGTGGTAATTAAAAACTGCTTTAAAAATCCAGTGATCATTATGAATATATTCTTTTTTTGTAAAGTTAATTGTTGAAAAATACTGGCCCTACTATAGAACCCTGTGGAACTCCATAACTAACTTTTGAATGTGGAAAACTTTGGGCCATAGACTCACTGCCAATGCTTATGTTAAAAAATATAGAGAAGGTTGTACATCTGAAGTTTAGTCTTGGAAACCTTAAAAATATGTGTTTCAGGGTCACAAAAAAATTACCGTAAATTTGTTTTTCTCTGGTTGCAGCTTTAATGATCCCTTAAAAAAATAAAATAAAAAGAAGAAGACTCTCCAGCATTGGCGTTGAGTCCTCAACTCCTATCCTCCCACATTTCATTTAATAATCTTACAGTGTATTTTAACAGCCCTGCGGTCATTTGTGCGATCAGATGAGGTGTGCAGCATGACAGCGGGAATAATAAATCCTCCAAGAACATCTTGTTCTTGCTGAAAAATGTGTCACAATCCAACAGATAACTGGAAAGTTGGGCAGCAATAACTTCCAAGAAACCATTTGATGCGGTCAACAAATCAAGTTTCATTTGGAAACTGGATCT